TTTGATCTTTTGTTGTTGTTGTTCAGTTGCACAATCGAGTCCGACTCTTCACGACCCCATGGACAAGATCCCGCCAGGCCCTCCTGTCTTCCGCCGTCCTCTGAAGTTTGCTCAGTTTCATATTCGTTGCATCAATGTCACTGTCTAACCATCTCATCCTTTGCCGTCCCCGTCTTCTTTGACCTTCAATCTTTCCCAGCATCAAGGTCTTCTCCAGTGAGTGCTCCATTCTCATTTGGTGGCCAAAGTATTTGAGCTTCAGTTTCATTATCTGGCCTTCCAGGGAACAGTCAGGGTTGATTTCTTTTAAGATTGACTGATTTGATCTTCTTGCAGTCCAAGGGACTCTCAAGAGTCTTCTCCAGCACCATAGTTCAAAAGAATCTATTCTTCAGCGCTCGGCCTTCCTTATAGTCCAACTCTCACAGCCATACATGACTACTGGGAATACCATTGCTTTGACCATACAGACTTTTGTTGGCAGGGTGATGTCTCTACTTTTTATCATGCTGTTTAGGTTCACCATTGCTTTCCTCCCAAGGAGCAGGCGTCTTTTAATGTCATGGCTGCTGTCACAGTCTGCGGTGATCTGGGATCCCAGGAACGTGAAGTCTGTCACTACTTCCACGACTTCCCCTTCTATTTGCCAAGGAGTGATGGGGCCGGATGCCATGATCTTATTTTTTTTTTGATGTTGAGCTTCAAGCCTACTTTTGTGCTCTCCTCTTTTACCCTGAGCAAGAGGCTCTTTAGGTCCTCTTCACTTTCTGCCATTCGAGTGGTATCGTCTGCATATCTGAGGTTGTTGATCTTTTCCCCATTTGATCTTGGTCGCCAGCAAAACATCCTTGCATTTAAGAATCTTTTGTAGGTCCTTCATGGCTGCCCTTCTCAGTCTCAGTCTCCTTCTTGTTTGCAGACTCCCTTTTTGTTGATCATGGAGCCAAGGAATAGGACATTTTGAACAATTTTAGCTTCTTAATTGTCAACCTTGAAGTTGTGTAATTCCTCAGTAGTCATTTCTTTTGTCTTCTTGATGTTCAGCTGAAATCCTGCCTTGGCACTTTCTGCTTTAACCTTCATCAGTAGTCATTTCAAGACATCACTATCTTCTCTCAGTAAGGTGGTGTCATCTGCATATCTCAAACTGTTAATGTTATTTCCACCAAGTTTCAGTCTGCCTTCATCTAAATCTAATCCAGTTTTCCTTAGGATATATTCTGAATACACACTGAACAGACAGGGAGATAAAATACATCCTTGTTTGACACCTCTGCCAACTGGAAACCACTCAGTTTCTCCATATTCTGTCCTAACAGTAGCCTCTTGTCTGGAATACAGGTTGCAGATCAAAACAGTCAGATGATGTGGCTCTTCATCTTGTTTTACCAAAGAGAACTGAGCTCTATCTTCTGCTTTTGATTATGTAATGTATTTGATTTCTATATTCGCCATCCAGTGATGTCCACATACACAATTATATGTTTGGTCACCTGAAATGTGTTTGCAAAGAACAAATCGTTGTCTTTACAGAATTCTTTCCTGCTTCATTTCATGCTTCTAGCCCAAATCTTCCTAAAATATTTGACTCTGCTTTGTTTCCTACTTTTACATTCCAGTCATCTATGATTAGGAGCTGCAGTGGCTCAAGTGGTTAAGACGCTGAACTGCAGGATGTGGAAGGTCGGTAGTTCAACAGTTCGAGACCCGAGTGTGCCGCATGACGGAGAGAGCTCCCGTCTCTAGTTCCAGCTCCTGCCATCCTAGCAGTTCAAAAGCAAGAAACTGCAAGTAGATAAATAGGTACCTCTTCAGTGGGAAGGTAACAGCGTTCCATGCGCCTTGGTGTTTAGTCATGCCAGCCACATGACGACAGAAATGTCTTCGGACAGCGCTGGCTCTTCGGATCATGGAGGTTTTTTGCTATCTTCTGGGTATGGAGCAGGGGTCACTGGGGGTGTGCAGGGGGAGCTATTTGTGAATTTCCTGCTTTGTGCAGGGGGTTGGACTAGATGACCCTGAAGGTCCTTTCCAACTTTATGATTCTATGTGGATCTTCTATTTGATATGCTATGTTGTGTGGGCCAGTGCCTGTGCTAGACACTTGGGATGTGGAGGCTATGGGCTGATGGTCAGATCATATGCTGCCGACTAAATTTGTGGGGCAGTGGGTGGTCCTAGCATCTAGCATGTTGGAAGCGCTTTCATTTTGAGATTTTTAAAATAGTCAGTTCTAGAGTGAAATGGTGAATCTCCTTAAAAAGAAAAGTTCAGAAAAACAAACTCATCAGATATTGAGCTTGACTAGAAAAGCAACATGTAAATCCATTAACTGTGTACTAAAAGAACAACTTACTCAGACAACTTTAATTTCAAAAAATAAAACTTCAGAAAATGTTTCAAAATTCCATTTTACTTTCTTTAAAACACACCCTATATAAACAGACAAATCCTCAAAAGGTGCCAAAAAGTTGCCCTTCTGTTTTTCTAAATGATCTTTGTGTGCACAGTCTAGCTGGAATTACTCATCGATTATGTCTACGTAAACAACAAAAAGCCTTTAGAAAAAATACTGAGATCAAAAGCCTGTCAAATAGTAAGCCGGAAAGAGAAATCCTGTAGGAACTCTTTCAAGTCTAAGTTCAGTCCTGCCAAATAAACACAAAAGATTTTGTATTGTAAAATATTTCAACATTCGTTTGGAACTTGACCAAACGGTTTCCCCCCCTCTGCCTCCTGCTTGTTGAGTATTGACCTGAGCAGTATGAATAAAATACAGGCTTCCCAGTCATCTAGGGTTGCCAACTCCAGCTTGGGAATTCCTGGAGATTTGGGGGCCATGCCTGGGGAGGGTGGAGTATGAGGGGAGGGAGGTCAGTAGGGATATGATGCCATAAGGCATGCCTTCTAAAGCTGCCATTTCCCCCGGGGGCCCTGATCTCTGTAAACTGGAGATAAATTACGGTTCTGGGAGATCACCAGGCTCCACCTGGATACTGGCAACCCTTTGTGTTTTCCTCATAAATCAATGCAGGGACAGGGAAGATACTTGCAAGGGAGAAACAGCAGACAGAAAGAATGTGCTTAACCCTCTTCCACTCTTTAAATACCTTGTAGGTGTGAGTGAATTCCCCTTGGCTCCATTCTGACATTTTTTTTCTCATTACTGGTTTCTAGGTAGTATACAGTTTATAATTTTGGGACTCTTTGTACTGATGTACTTTTTAGAATTTTCCTTTTGCAGTGTTGTCTAAAATAAATCTATCCATTTAAAATATTTATAGCCTGCCTTCTCCCCTTAAACTCGAGATGGTTACATATTTCACATAGCTCTTCAGTGTGACATTTTATATTCTTGCCTGAAGGTATGCTGCAGTCATACACCATTCAGATGGTATGGATGCATGTATGAATGGACGGATGAGTCTCCATTGTATCTAAAGTACATTTTTGCATGCAAAAATCTGCTTTGGTTGCCCTGGTTACACAAGCCCCAGAGCTCTGTGCATCCTAGTCAGGCCTATAGCTACAGTGGGGCATCTAGGGGCCTGGCCCCCTGAATTCCTCTCAAGGCCCCACGACTTCCATCCAGACCCCAAGCCCCTCAGCTCTCCAGGCTGCTTGGAGGACTACCAACTCTCTGGGCCACCCAGAGGACTCACCACCACCACTCCTTCCCCAAGCGTGGCTTGCTTCCCCACGTAGGCTGGCAGAGTGCCATCACCGCAAAAGTGAGTTTTAAATTTTTTAATCTTATTTTGTGACGTCAGCGCCCCCTGACTTAAGGCCCCCCAAATGACAAAATCCTGGCTACGAGCCTGATTCTAGTATTGTAGCCAGTGTGTGGGCAAAGACTGTTATGCAAATATGAATGCAAGAATTGTTTTCAGGCTATAAACAGATTAAAAACGTGATCAGGTCGGTTTTGCATGCATTGTGCCAGTGAGTGGACAACTCAAATTTAGCAGAGAAATTCAACAACAGAGATTTTAGTGAGCATCACTCAGTTATTTTTAAACAATTGCTTTCCAAAAGCCATGCTCCACAGTAATACTAGCTAGTGATGAACAGCCTAGCAAGGGAGAATGTGAGGGTACAAATAAAGTTGATTTTTTCCCTTTGATTACAAGTGCCTTCCTAAATTCATATTATCACAGAAAGCATGGGGATGAGAACATATATATGCCAAGAGAGTATATAGTTCCACCCTTTATTGTACAGAAGGCTGAAAAGTTCAGATTTTAAAAACCATCTCCATACTCTTCTTTACTGGAGAGGGAAGGCATATGAGAGCGAAGATATAAATCATAGGATTTATTTCTCAACAAAATATCCAGTATATTTTTACTTCTTTCTTATTAAATGGTTCTCTTCTAGTAAAAAGGTCCAACAGTATTTTATTTATTTACTTATTTAGACATTTCTTTTATCCCAAAGTATAGGACCTGAAGCAGCAACAGTCAAACAGAGTGAGCTTACAGAGGAAAAACGCAATAAAATTCATAGTCATAGCTGCAGGGGACCTGACCATATCTTCTTCCACCACTGCCCAGAAAGCCTATAGTACATAGTAGAAATGAGCTGCAATCCAGTTTTGTTTCTATGGGATTCTGTGGGTTTTGTTTCTGAACCATATGACTTTCCAAAAGCAATGTGTAAATGAAATAAACCAGATGGTCTGTACATACAATACTTTTTGGTACTATGAAAAGAATCACCGTGTCTTTGGAGACAAATCAAAGTACAGCTCCAGCTTCCAGTTTTATGAAATTGTCAACAAAAAATAAGTTAGTTTTCAAAAAAAAGAACTCATCAGTTTATGCTTAAAAGTCAGCAATAATCGCCTCTAATATCACTCAAAACAAAATACAGAAAACAGGTAGAGTTTATCTAAAATGAAAGAGTGGTTCATTTAATCTACACCATGAATAGACACTTTACTCACAGTGTTGTTCTTCTAGCCTTTTGATGAAGCCTAGAAAAGTCAAATTATTAGTTACCTTGACTAATGAATTTCTCCATGTTGTCTTTAAAAGGTTGGATGTGCTCTTCTAACGATAACTGACAAACTTTGCCTGCTTCTGTCTCACACGCTGAAATTGAAGTAACACACCAAATTAGAACGATACAACCACTGCAGGAAAGTTTCTCCCCAACTCTTTATATTTACTGATGGATCCTATGAATTACTGGTTCAAACAGATTTCCAGGACTGGATGAAATCACTGCTTTGCTGGAGATAACAAAGCTGGACAACACTGACATCTGGTGTGATCCAGTTTGGGCCACTTTATCATGGACAGCCAATTGCACTAGTTTGACATATGTTAAAAACAACGACAAAACCCCAAATCTTATAAGATTCAGCAACTGTCTCAGGATAGACTCCAGTCGACTCATATATGTCACTGTAAGAGGCTGCATCTGACTTTGAATTCTTCCATGTCACTGCAGCTCTGAAAACCAGTAATAACATGTCATTGAAACTAACACACAGTATACACACAGTATAATGGCATCATATAGGATATCACTGTAGCTATGCTGATAAAGTCAATTTCTCTTAATTTTTTAAAAACATAAAATGTTTTTTGTGTGAATTTTTAGAATCAGGCATCCACCCAGAAACAATTGTCTAAATATGTTGTTCCAAGAGCACTGCTTTAAAATGATGCACATAATGCTATTTTCTCTTAAATCTGATGGTATACTAAGCCACAGTCCTATGCACACTTATGTGGGAATAGGTCCTATTGAACTCAATGAAATTTACTTTCAGGCACACTGCTTAGGACTGCTCCCTTTCTCTGACAAAAACAATTCTAAGGGCCTGATTTACAGATGCAAGAGAATGAGATGGTAGAATGGGCTGCACCAGATCAGACTACATCATATGCTGGGATTTTGTCACATGTTAAAAAAACTCTGTGCAAATTAAAAAAACAACAACAACACCACAGCAAGTGAAAAAAGGTGAAGAAGCTTTCACCATGCTTTGCTAGTTTTCAATTTGCATTCAGAACATGAATCTATCACATACATTTTGTAGTACATTCTACCACCTCAACATTTTACTACTTCATTCTTCTACATGTGTAAACCAAGCCTATGCATACAGTGCTAAGTGTGCCAAGTTAGCTACATTCTACTTGTGGCAGTTCTTATGCTCATCACATGCCTTGTATGCAGCAAAGGCCAGTGACTTCTTTAGAGACCAGCAGAAGGAAGACACGTAAAGTCTTAGAAAGTTAAGAGGATGATAGTGAGGCTCCAGGTAATCTTAAACATTACAATTAAACACACTTTGTCAAAACCCTTACTCCTCAGAAACTGAGCAGAATCCATACATCTAATGCATTTACCAAGATTATGGAGTTCAGTTACTAAATTTACACTTAACAATTTCTTTGAATGTGAATGCAAGCAAAATCCATACAAAGGAGTAACTACTGAGCATTACACAGCTGTAGGCTTTATTCCACACATGGTTATAATATATCATAGTGAGAGCTGGTGGCATTGTTCAACTGCAACCAGTCTTTATGATTAAGCAGCACTACTAGAAGGGATCTAATAGAATGATGGGTAGGATCAAGCTTCAGGGTGGGCAAAAGTCAAGGCTTATGACTGGATTTTATCAGCCTAGAAATTCCTGTAAAGAAACAGAATGTGAGACTTTGCATTAGGTGGCAAAATTATAGTAGACTGCAGAGCTATGTAAGAGTTGCACCTACAATGACTACTTACTCTGTATGCCAATAAAGGCACTGAAACTGACTACTTACTCACCTAATGGTGGAACAAAAATATTTGATAACAAACCTACTCAGGCATCCTCAGAAGGCAATTATTTTTATTTCTAAGATATATTTATTTTATTTTAACACACTCTTTCTCTAAGAAGCTCAAGGTGGCATACAAGTCCCCCTCCCCTTTTCATCCTCACAACTTTACCTCAAGATAAGTTAGGATGAAATAAAGGGCTGGATCCATAACTTATGCATGGCACTTGTGATGGTCCCCTGGGGCTAGGTGCTCAGAGACCTGAGTATTCCGGGCGTGAGTGATTTATAAATCCAAATTATAAATAAATTATAAAATAAATACACTGCCCCCCCAAGGATTTTCTATCACAACTCCCACCGTCCCCACTGCTCCAGGGAATTTCCAGTGGGAATAATGGTTTGAAGGGATAGTCTGGGCCTGGGTATAAACTAAAATGAAGATTGTTCACTTTAAAATGAACAACAACAACATTTATTAAATAGAAAGGATACAAAGTGAGACAAACCTGAACTGATAATGAGATGTGGGAGGCTAGGTTTGAGTACCTTTACCGGGGGGGGGGGGGGCTTTCTCAAAGAGTCTCATTACATACATGGGTGAATTCTACCAAGTCCACCTTTCTGCAGCTCCTATGCCACACTATTCCTAAGGGTCCATGCAATCCTGGTCCTATTCTAGCTAGTTCGCCACACTGCTCACATAGGAACAATCGAACAATTTTTAAAAATGGGGTTTGAAAATATTTCACACACATGCCTAAGAGACAAGTGAGAATCAGGGCCATTAAAGTGAAAATAAGTCTTTGCAGATTTTGCCTGTCTGTTTGGAAGTCATGGTTGACTTCTGGTGACCCCTAGTGGGGTTTGGATGTTTCAGAGAGACGGCTTACTGTTGCCTGCCTCCGCGTCCCAGCCCTGGTATTCCTTGAAGGTCTCCCTTCCAGGTACTTGCCAGGGTCAGTCCTGCTTAGTTTCCAAGATCTGATGAGATCGCGCTTGCTTGGTCTATCTAGGTCAGGGATCTATGCACAATTTTTGACTGAAATGAATGGTTGCAGGTCATTGTTATCAGTGGAACCCAAATTTAGAGAATGTGGGCTGGTCTGTAGCCGATGTTAATAACTCAACAATTTATTTTTAAAAAGTTAACCAAGATTTACTGCCTGTTAAACTTAAAAAACAAAACAAAACAAATGCTGTATCTGACTCATGTGGGCAGCCTTTAAAAACATATACACATATGCAAATCAAATTGCGCAAACTATATTTCTAAACTTTGTGTAATCAACTCAGCTCCAATGATCTGCCGAGGCTCAGATCTCACATGCACTTGGCTTGTAAACTTGCTTAACAACATCACTATACGAATTCTATTGACCTCAATGAAACCATTCATGGTCAGAAAGTTAAAAATACATTTAAGTGTTTACAGGCTCAGTGCCTAAATAAATCCAGCTTTAGGTCAGTTTCATAGCAAGTGCAGGAGCTGTGATACAGCAACTTCTTTCGATAGTCTAGTCTCAGACTTTAGTTGCCTTCTCAAGCAATGAAAAAAACATTTCACATGCTTATTTTTTGATCCTCACAACAACAATGAAAAAAAATGAACATACACCAATTTTTGACAGGAAGCAAACAGAACACTACCACTAATTTCAGATTTAAAATCTGTGAGAGAACTAGAAGTTATGGAAATTTCACAAAGCTTTCCCGCACAGGAACACACAAATATAACAGTTTGGACCCTCCAACACTCCAAGAAGGTGCCATGTTTGTTTGGGCTGATCTCAGCTCTTGCCTTCCATGCAGAACAATCAAAACATTTGGACCAGGATCCAAAGCATCACATGTGGTGTACTGCTCATATGTGGGGTTTCTCCAGCTCTTCCCCCATGACAACAGGCATGCACACCCTCCCACATGAAAAATACCCTCAAAAACTGCAGTCTCACCAATGTAGCATCATATGAGGCAAAAGAACCACCAACCAGAAGGGGGGAGGGAGTCAGCCCCACCCTGTGCAGACATGGGAGGTGTTTTGCACAGGCCCAAAGGCCTACCTGAATCCAAGCCTTGAATTTATGTCTCAGGATATTCTCCTGCTATTTCATTGCATTCAAGAAATTTACTGAATTATTCTAAAAGGTTATCTCCCACTTCACTGGCAAAAGCTTTCAAGAAAGTTTAAAAATTCACTCTTTAAAGTCATAATAAACACAGGTCGTTATCTTAAAATGAAACAACTTTTCTGATCTCTTTTTCAATATGCATCAGTAATCAATTATATACTCTTTCCTAGAAATGTAAAACCTCTAATATATTTTATATTAATTTTTCTAATCAAATATACTTGCATTAAAATATATGGATAACTGGTCTTTCATGTACAGGACTGAAATATCAACAGAATTTTCCAAGCTGTCACAAGTGTGGCAACACATGCCGATATGAATATATTACCCATTTCCCACTACTCTTTAACATACTGCTCTTGTAAAGAAGAGAACTTATTTTTACATTGCAGGGAACAAGAACTGGGTATCTACAGTGTATGCACCAGTCCTAAGTGTGTAAGAGACTAGAGCTGAGCAAGCAGTCATTCAACAGACAATTTTGGGTCAAATTTAAGAAATTTGGGTCAAATTTAAGAAATTCAGTTTGTGGAAGCCTATGATGGTTCAGAAATGCTGAGGAACATTATTATAAAAACCTAATGGGAAAAGATATTATCTGTAATCCTTACTCCTCTAGTTTTGAAGACTACCTTTGGCAGATCTATCTGTCAAAATGTTACACTGACTCTAACCTAGTTTTTATGTGTTATTGAAATATACCTCTATGTTTATGTATATCTTTTGATGGCAACTGTATGGCATTGTTTTGAGAGAGAAAAATAATAATAATTTTAAAAAAATTTTAAAAAAAGAAATGCTGAGGAACATGGAGGTTGAAATATTCCCCGAAAATAAGATTCTATCTCATCTTACTAACCCAGAGTCATATAGAAATGCTTGAAGTGGTAACTTTAAAAGAATCAAGAATGGAAGGAAATGAAACCAGATTTATCTGAATGGCACACTTTTCCATACAAAGAGAAAGACTTCTTAATTTTCTTGTGTTTATTTTTTTGGTATTGTTAGGACTTATGCTAAGGACTGTTGAGGCTTCAAAAGCTTCTACAGACAGCTCCTTGTTTGGAGTTTTAAGGATAGTAAAACATGACTCACAGATTGACTGAAATCCTGGCTTTATTTTACATATGGTTTAGGTTTAGGAGTCTGCATGCAGCAATGTTTCAGTCAATTAAC